AGCACTAGCAGAGGAAGTGAAGAGAGCTTTATTATTTTATTTTTACCTCTTTCCACACAGCAGGCTCAGCCTGGCTGCGTCTGGCTTATTTCCCGCGTAATGAATGAGGTTCACATCTTGTTTGTGACGCCGAGCAATTCAGCAGGAGGATGGGGGCCAATCATTTCATTTCTGGATGCTAATTCCAGCAGCAGCTGTTTTCTGCTAACAGAAATATGGCTGCACTAACAACTTGACACTCCAGCAGAACACTTCTCGGTGGTGCGTGCTGAGCTCTCCAAGGACCAGTGTGTGGTGTTTGTTTTATTTCACGAGATGCAGAAACGTGAATCACAATTGACTCACTCCATTTCCATATGCGCATCTCCTAACATTTCGGATGAATGGCCATCTTCTCTTTGGGGTGGCAGAGCAACATTTTGTCAAAGGGATACTATCTTCATCACTTCTGTTCATGGAACGTGTCCAAACCTTCCCTAGTTGAAGCATTTTCAAAAACAAGGATTGGTTTGCCGTGCCCCTCGCTGTCCAGCAGAGGGAGGCGCAGACAAGAGGCAGGGGCTGCAGTCAGAAGGAGCCTAGAGGTATGATACGGACTCATCAACAGGAAGGACTCAGTAAATACATGTTTCCTCAGGGTTTTTTCCCCCTTTTTTCTTTCTGTACTTAAACAATATGAAAGCGTTTTCTAAACTGTTCCATAGGAACGTAGCCCAGGGAAGTCACTTAAGCCTGACTATGTTTCTAGTCTGCTGAACCGCTTTATACCTTCTTTAATCAATACACCTATCAATTAGTACTAAATTTCAGGGAAGAGCGCTAACGTTTTGGAAGGACTGTTATTACTGTGGTCATTTCTGAGCTTCCTGGTGCCTCGGTCCTGGGCCTTTGGCTGGGCGCACTCCTCCAGTCTTTTCTGTCCCTGGCTCGGTACTGGCAGTGTCACCTGCTCAGATAGTCAAAAGTTGGGCATTCTTGGCTTCTCACCGTCACCTCTGGAGTGACCGGTCATTTGTCAGGCGTCTCACGGGCGTTTGGGGGAAGAGCACTATGTATAGACAAGATGTGTCTGTGTCAAGCGCAGTCCCAGGTGGGGCGGCGAAGCCCTTCCAGGGGACTTGACGGACCTTCCCAGTGGATACATATCATGTGTCACCACCACTGAAGTGGGTCAATCGTGGAATGACTCACACTATATAGAACCCTTATCATTAGAAGCCTTCTGGTAATATGTTTTGAAGTAGTTCATGCTTAGAAATGAGAGGTGAATGGTGCCGTTTAATTTTCCTGAATTGGTTAATACTGAACTTGAGTCTGTTTTCCTGTTGTAAAATTTTGTATCTGTTTTGTATTGTATTGGTTGCATCTGTTGGTAAAGTTGTTCAGAAACAGTGGAGTAATGTAGTTTGGGAAGAAAAAGAAATTGTCTAGTTAACCCCCTGCCACATTCGAATGTGGATGGTGTCTAAAAAATTGTAAGCTTTTCAAAGAGATTTCTCTACTTAAGAAACTTGAACCCTCTTATTATGCGTAATCAGCCCAAGCCTGGGACGTTCTCCCTTGTGTCTGGCTCAGATCTTCTACAGTTTGAGTGCCTTTCTTCTTCGTCGGTGCAAATGGAAACCAGCTGCCTGACCTTCCCCTATGACAGCCCTTCGCGTCCTCCAAGGTGGTTATGAAGTCACTCCCCAGCCTTCTCTCCTCGGGACTAAGTAGTGCCTTTAGCTGATCTTCCAAGTTCTGTTTTCCAGTCCATTAATCACCTTTCGGTCTTCCGTAAGCTTTCCTACGTCCTTCTTTAAATTGTGGATGCTGAAATGGCAGAGTAGCCATTAACTAGGACCGCTACCTTTTCAGGCTGGCAGATGTCATTGTCATTCATAAGGAAAACCCAGTGATTTTTGTTGACACCCAGGGATGAGCTGCGGCACTGATAGCCCCTCTTGCAGTGGACTGGGCCTAGGTGTGAGGTACGGGAATGAGGCCTAGGTGTGCGGCCTTCAGCAGCCCAGACTCCAGGTCTGTTTCAGGAACCTCGTGCAGTCCCACGACGTCACGCCTGACCAGTTCTGTAGGACAGGAATCCTTCCCAAGCACTGGTGCCTCTTCGGCAGAACTCTCCTGTACAGGACTTCACTTCTGGTTTCCATGGCGAAGTCAAATGCACGTTCAGTGAACATGAAACCTTGCGGCTCTCTCATTCCTCCCTGCAGACAGCTGGCTTGGGAACAGACACAGGACAAGGGCTGGTCTTTGGTATCTAATCTCATTGAAACCACAGAGAGAGGAAGCTCTGGAAAACTGTCCAGAGAGCACAGGACGGGAGACAGAAATTAAGTGTCGTTACCCATTTTGAGAATGTCTGGACCATACGCCGTCTCTGCTGTCCAGGGTTTGGACTGGTCACTGCTGTGACCTCTCCCTACCTCCTCTCCTTCTGTTTCCCCTAAAAACTTAAGTTGCTTGGGTGGAAATGCCCTGGCGTGGGGATTCTGGAAACTGTGACTGTCAGATGGAACGCCTGCTGTGGAGTTCCAGTGCTTCCTTCAGTGCCCAGCCTGGGCATCAGACTTTTCCCTCCCTGGTCAGTCCCTGCAAGAAGCAGACATGCCGACATCAGCCTTTGGCCAGCGTCTGACCTTGGACAAGCAAGTTTTGACAAGAACCATTAGGTGGCCAGACTCTGTTTAGGGCAAGCCTCAGTGAGCATGACTGTCTAGATACTACAGGGTCTGCGTGAATTATACGTGCGACGAAGAATATGCGGAAAAGTCATGTGAAATCCTGGCTAAATTTTTCTCTCTTCAGATTTTGAGGCTCCTTAAACTATGTCTAATGGCTGGAAATTGCCCTTGTACTTTTGGGAGGAGTAATAAATTTCACATGGCAACCAAAACTTGTAGATACCTGACATATCAGGTTTGGGATCATTGATTACTGAGGTCATTCTGAATGAATGAATGAATGAATGAATTGATGAATATACTCCACTACATTTTACAGTGAGATACAGTATTGAAAGTGCCAGCTTTGTCCTGGATATGTGTGCGTTCCCAAAATGTGCATTTCCAGGGACCATGCCCTCTCTTCATTGAAAGGTGGATTTTCCTGGCTCCATTCTGATTAATCACCAGGATATTTATGCTCAGTTAAAAGACATTTAGTAGGCCCCTGAAGTTTTGTTTTTCTTTAATGAAATTCAGAACCCTAGTGGATTAAATAACATTTTATCAAATGTCCTGCCTGAAACTACACACCTGCCCCACTGAGCCTGCAGGTGAGAGGGACGTGCTACTGGTAACTTCATTTTCTCTCTGTTTCAGTCTAACAGGCAGCCAGCTAAGCTGAACCTTCTCACCTGCCAGGTGAAACCAAATACCGAAGACAAGAAGTCTTTTGACTTGATCTCACGTGAGTCCTTTTTCTGTCCGAGTCAGTGACTGGGGATTCTGGCGGCTGCACGTTTCCATTCTCTGGGCATTGCAGCAACTTTTCCAAGCAGGGCTGCTCACAGCTCCAGAAAGATCCCTCAGGCCTCTCAATTCACCCTGAACCCGGCAGCTCAGAGTGAGAACAGAACAGCGTCAGATCTGACGTGCGATGGAACAGAACCTCAATTTGTATGTTGAACTAGACCAATTCTTGACCGTGATACACGGCTTTATCCCTTTGGACAGGTTTTTCTAAGTACATTCCCATTTCTCTCCTGAGCCTGGTCTTGGGTGAGAAGCAAGCTGGAAATGTAAAGTGACATACTGAATTGGCAACCATCACCCAAGTTTGTCACAGAAATCTATTTTGATCGGGTGGGACCAGTCTGATTCCCACTGTTTTTCAGAAGAAGTGCCAGATGTTTGCGTGGTATTAGCATTTATTTTATTGTATTCCTTTGGCACTTCAGTAAAATCATATTGACAAAGTGAATTGTGTAACTGCTGATACAAAATGGTGTAAAATTAAAATAATACTAAAATCCTACTTTTACTGTGGTTTTCTTTTCCCCAGGAACTTTCAAAATTTGCATTATACCTGAAACTATTCCGCTACTTTTAAGGTTTCACTTTATTTTTCTTTTTTGTGTTATAGATAATAGGACGTATCACTTTCAGGCAGAAGACGAACAGGATTATGTAGTGTAAGTGGTTTTGAAATCATGGCACTGCGTGCCTCTGTCCTGTCCAGTCTGCCTGGGAGTTTTCTTTTTGTGACAAGAGCCACTCCTGGTGCTTCCGTGTGCTCACCTCTCACCCCTGCGCCTCCACACATTGCTCTTCTCTGCCTGAGGTGCCCAGTGAACTCCAGTGTCTCCTTCAAGATTCTGCTCCCCGCGGGTTTGCTCCCTCCCTCCTCAGCCTCCTCACACCCCTCCAGCCTCACCCCCATGGGT